CCTCAGAGAATCAGTAGGGAGAGCTGATATGACTCTTAAAGCAGGCAAACGAAAGAAATAGGAGAGGGCACCATAACAATATATATAGCACAAATAACTTGGGCCCTGGTTTGCTGCATCCAGGCGCGGCTGCGTTGTTGACCCAGTGATGCCACCGCCAGAGTCCTCAGTCTTCCTTGAATACTCCCTCCCAGTACTAGGAGCTGGGGCTGAGAACCCGTTACCGGACGGGCCCTTCGTAGAGGCAGGCACGATGAGCGGCGGTGAGCAGGCCAAAACGATTTTAGAATACATTAGGAGAACGTAACAAAGATAACGACAATGTGCCACAGATTAGGATTTTTGAAAATGACAAATTTAATACATGAAAATACGCAATAATCCAGTACTATGAACTAGGATAAGGATAAGCGCAAATACTGACAGTCAGTCAGGTGCTGTCACAGTGAGAGGTTGTGTTAGCTGGAGCTCTGGAGTAACATTATTATTGCAATAATGGAAGGATTAGTGAATGATTTGGTGAGTTTGGTTGGAGCTCTGAGAGCAGAGATGGATTCCCTGCGGGAGGAGGTACGACGGCTGAGACTTCGAGAGGAAACGAAGGAGGAGACCAGTGTTGACGAGACCTCATCGTGGAGAGTAGTGAAAGACAGGGGTCTTAAGAAGACCTTGACAAGGCCGCCTACAGACGCCCTAAGGACGGCAAATTCATTTGCCGTGTTGGAGGACGAGTGCTGTAGTGCGCCTGCAGCGAGGAACGGCGGAGCGCAGGTCCCTCAGGCTGCTCAGAAAGTTAGGGCGGTACCGAAGCGAATTTTGGTTGTGGGAGATTCCCAGGTGAGGTATTTAGACAGAACGTTTTGTGCCAGAGATAGGGGGAACAGATTAAGGGTTTGCTATCCGGGAGCTGGAATTGGTGATATTGTTGAAAACATGAATGATATTATGACGGGAAATGGGAACAAACCCATTATTTGTATTAGTGCAGGGGGTAATGATGTTGGGCGAGTTAGGAGTGAGGAACTAATACAGAGATTCAGGACAGCCATTGAATTAGTTAGGAGCAAGGGAGGAATCCCGATCATATGTGGCATTCTTCCAAGAAAGGGAGTGGGAAATGAATGGATGTCGAGGGCACTTGGTGTCAATTGCCGGCTGGAAAGATATTGCAAATCAAATGCAATATCTTTCATAGACAACTGGGAACGCTTCTATGGAAGAAATGAAATGTATGCTCGTGATGGGGTGCATCTATCGAAGACTGGGGTTGTTGCTGTTGCGAACTCGTTGGAACCAGTGGTTAGAGGTGTTTGTTTGGGTTTAAACTGTTAGTAGATAGTGGTATGGGAATTGATTTGGAGGAAGGAGGTAATAAAAGTATGTGTTCGTGGGAGAAAAGAATTGGCAAAATGATCAGGGAAAGAAAAGGGCCTCAAAATAACAATTCACTTAGGATATATTGCACTAACAGTAGAAGTCTAAGAAATAAAATTAATGAATTAAATGCTCTTGTCTGCACAGAAAAAATAGATATTATTGCACTTACCGAAACGTGGATGAATGTAGAAAATAGAGAACTATTAGCTGAATATCAGATAAATGGATTTAAACTATTTCACACAGATAGATATATTAGACGAGGAGGGGGAGTAGCCATATATGTTAGGGACAATTTGAAATGTATTCTCAAAGAGGGAATCAAAACTGAGCCACACACAAACTATTTGGATAGAATTAAACGAAAAAGCAAATAATATTATAATAGGAGTTATATATAGGCCACCAAATTTAGACAGAATGGAAGCAAAGCATCTATGGAATGAAATATCTAGAGCATCTAGATCTAACAGTATTTATGTCATGGGTGACTTTAATTTTAGTGGAATAAACTGGGTGAAGAAAACAGGGAATAGTGAAGCAGAAGATTTTTTAGAATTAATTGACGATTGCTTTCTTACGCAACACATTAAGGAACCAACGCGGGAAAATAATATTTTAGATTTAGTGTTAACTAACAGGGAAACACAAATTAATGACATCGAAATAGGGAGTGAGCTAGGGAACAGTGATCACAAAGTAATCAGATTTAGCATAGAATGGAATAGACCTGTAGGAGAAAATTCTGTTAAAGTGCCAGATTTTCGAAAAACTGATTTTAATAGCCTAAGAAATTTTTTGGGTCAAATAGATTGTAAAGTCTTGGGTATGGGGTATGGGAACCCAGCGACAGGTGACGTAAAAGGGGATTACGATGTGGATTTAATATATAACTTATTTAAGAATATTCTAAACAAAGCACAGGAACGTAGTATACCATACAAATTGAATAGATCGAATACTAATGACCCAAAGTGGATAACAAATAATTTAAAGAACCTTATAGGTAAAAAGAGAGCTTGGTACAAAAGGATTAAGAATGGGGAAGTCAGGTTAGAACAGGAATTCATACAACTGGTTAGAATTGTTAAAAAAGAGATTAGAAAAGCAAAAAGAAACTATGAAGTTCGCATAGCAGAGCAAGCAAAGTCAAATCCTAAAGGGTTTTTTCAGTTATATCGAACTAAGACTAGGGAAAGGATAGGTCCATTAAAATCTGAGACAGGTCAAATAACGGATAATGACAAAGAGATGAGTAGTATTTTTAACAAATATTTTATATCTGTATTTACTAAAGAAGAACTTAACAATATGCCTTCAGCCGAACAAGTCTATGTGGGTGGGGATGAGGACAGGTTGACTAGTTTAGCAGTTACCAGGGAGGATGTAATTAAATAATTAGAAAAACTAAAACCAAACAAATCCCCAGGGCCGGATGAAGTGTTTGCCAGGGTGCTTAAAGAATGCAAAGAGGAGCTTTCCGAGCCACTGTCTACCATAATAAATAATAGAGTCAGGCAGAGTGCCAGAGTCATGGAAGGTAGCTAATGTGGTACCAATTTTTAAGAAAGGAGATAGATCACTTGCGTCAAACTATCGGCCAATTAGCCTAACATCTACTGTGGGAAAGTTACTCGAATCAATAATTGCAAATACAATTCGTCTCCATCTTGAAAAATATAAATTAATAAATGAGTCACAACATGGTTTTACAAATGGCCGTTCATGTTTAACAAATTTGCTAACTTTTTATTCCAGCATAGTTGAGGCAGTTGATAGTGGTAAGGATTGTGATGTTGTGTACCTTGACTTTAGCAAAGCTTTTGATACAGTGCCACATGAAAGACTAATTAAAAAAATAGAAGCTCATGGTATTGGGGGTGCTATATCAACTTGGATTAGGGCATGGCTATTCCAAAGGAAACAGAGAGTTAGTATAAATGGGGTTAAGTCAGAGTGGGATAATGTTGTTAGTGGAGTACCTCAGGGCTCTGTCCTGGGACCTCTGTTGTTTATAATATATATAAATGATTTAGATTCAGGTTTGAGTAGCAACATTTGCAAATTTGCCGATGATACAAAAATAGGTAGGGAAATTAATTCGGAGGAGGACTCGCTATCACTTCAAGTTGATCTAGATAGGGTTTTGAAATGGTCAAATGATTGGCAAATGCAGTTTAATGCTGATAAATGTAAAGTTCTGAGGCTAGGTAATGATGATAGAGTTACAAGATACGAGCTAGATGGTGTTGAGATTGCGAAGTCGGATTGCGAAAGGGATCTGGGAGTTATGATTAGTAAGAATTTAAAACAAAAGGATCAATGCATAAATGTTCGTAATAAGGCAAATCGGACACTTGGATTTATTAATCGCAGCGTTAGTAACAAGACACCTGGTGTGGTTCTCAAGCTATATCTTGCTCTATTTAGGCCCCATTTAGATTATGCAGTTCAGTTTTGGTCGCCATATTATAGAATGGATATAAATTCACTTGAACGTGTCCAGCGTAGGATGACTAAGTTAATTCCCCAAATTAGAAATCTTTCACATGAAGAAAGATTAACAAAGCTTAAGTTGCATTCACTGGAAAGGCGAAGAGTTAGGGGTGACATGATAGAGGTTTACAAGTGGGTGAATGGACATAACAAAGGGGATATTAATAGAGTATTAAAAGTATCAACACAAGACAGAACACGAAACAATGGGTATAAATTGGATAAGTTTAGATTTAGGAAAGACTTGGGTAAATACTGGTTCAGTAACAGGGTTGTTGGTTTGTGGAACCAATTACCGTGTAACGTGCTGGAGGTGGGGTCCCTCGATTGTTTCAAGCGCGGGTTGTACAAGTATATGAGTAGGATTGGGTGGTTATAAATAGGAGCTGCCTCGTATGGGCCAATAGGAAAAGTGATATTTACCCTAAATGAGTGGGATATAAGGGAAGATAAGTTGGAGGCACCCTTGGGAATGAGTGATCACAGTGTTTTGATCTTTGAATACCTTTTGGTACAATAGAATGGATATAAATTCACTTGAACGTGTCCAGCGTAGGATGACAAAGTTAATCCCTCAAATTAGAACCCTGTCATATGAAGAAAGATTAACAAAGCTTAAATTGCATTCACTGGAAAGGTTAAGAGTTAAGGTGACATGATAAGAGGTTTACAAGTGGATGAATGGACATAACAAAGGGAATATAAATTGGGATATATATTAAAAGTATCAATATATATTAAAAGTATCAACACAAGACAGAACACAAAACAATGGGTATAAATTGGATAAGTTTAGATTTAGGAAAGACACAGGTAAATACTGATTCGGTAATAGGGGTTGTTGATTTGTGGAACCAATTACCTCGTAAATTGGTGGAGGTGGGGTCCCTCAATTGTTTCAAACGTGGGTTGGACATGTACAGGAGTGGAATTGGGTGCTTATAAATAGGAGCTGCCTTGTATGGGCCAATAGACCATCTGCAGTTACCTTTGTTCTTATGTTCTTATGTCATATTAAAAAGGTGCACAGCACATGGGTTCAATCACTTGAGCTCATAAGCCTACAGAAAACCTTTAGTATGAATAGAAGGCACTGTGTTACATTGGAATAAATGAGTATCAAGTACTTGACTGAAGAGCTTTAATATGCTTCCAATATGTTTTATCTTCTGATAAAACAAAAACATACAGGCTATAATTTAAAAAAGATCAATGTGTTAACATATTGATGTTACACTGCTGGAGATTTATTTACAGAGATGACATTACTGAAATATGCATACAAGAGTTCCCATTGTAATCCAAATACATAAGATAACCTCTATCAATTGTAGATAAAATGACAATGAGGTAACCTTCCCACGAGTATTCTACAATATCCCCACAAGCAACATATCACACACAAGGAAATATTAACACATTTTATAATTCAGTAAGGTTTCGGTTTGAAGGTTTAGTAAACTTTCAAGTGAAAAATATTGTTCTAGTCTCATGACCATCAAGAAAACATTTCCTTGAGTCTTAATTTGAATTAGATTTATTGATGCTGACAAGGATTTATCAGGCTTTATAAATTACATTTTATTGAATAGTCATACAATCTAAACTATGAAAGACTGCTGCAGAAACTTGTCTTAACAAAACAAAAATTTTGAGATTGAGGTAATTCTCAGTCAATCTACGATGAAATATTGTAATCTTAATAAATATCAGAGGAAAAAATCCTGTTTCCCTGGAATAGACACCTTGTGACCTATTTTCACAGTACACACACATGATATTTATACATGCATATACAATGCAATGTTCATTTAGGGAATTTAATCAAACCCAGTAAAATTGGTCATTATAGGCAGCAGGCTAGACGAGTTTAACTACAAATGAAAAAAGTACTGTGCTTTAAATACACCAGTTTCAAATTAAATATTCTTTCATCCAAGAAACTAAACAATGGCAGTATAAACCTTAAACAGTAAAATAAATTGTTACATTTTATTTCTTAATATAAGGCAATCAAATGATGCTTCGTACATGCAACATTTATAATTTGTTGCCAAATGTTACAAGTACTTAATGTGTGATACTTACCTACATGAATTTTGAAAGAATGTAGAGTGCAAACAAGCAACATATAGCAATCACTGTTGACATTTTTGGTATATACTGTATAGGCATTAATGTGTACTGTATATACTATATTATTCACTAGAGTAAAATATTTGCCAATTTGGTCGCCCATCAATGCTTTTCTTCAACCTGTCATAATCACTTTCTTAAAGACAAGAACTACCATACTGTACTTGCTAAATGTTTTGGCAAGTACTGCATTCAATTATTTTTTAAATACCAGTTAACTACCATTAGTGCTATTTTGATAATAAATAATTCACACATATAAGGCAGCACCAATTTAAAGCTGCTTAAACTCATTCATGCACGCCTAACCAACAATTACGCTACATAGCAATTTGTTTCATAAATCAACAACCCTGTTTTCAAACTAGTAATTACCTAGATTTTCCTGTATCTAAACTTCTCCTATTCATATAAAATATCTTGAGTGATAATTTGTGATGATATACTGTACGTAAAATCTAGTTTATATTCCCCTTTGTTATACCTTTTTGCCCTGGTATACTGAATATTCCATTATCCAGGAAGGCGGCCTGGGTATACTAAAATAGGTCCTTTTCCATCAGGACAGCTCCAGGTATACTGAATATTTTGGTAACCAGCAGGGCAGCCCCTGGTATACCAAATATTTTATTATCCAACATGGCAGCCCCTGGTATATTAAATATTCCATTATCCAGCAGTCCAGCCCTGGGTATACTGAATATTCCATTATCCAATAGGGCAGTTCATGGTATACTGGACGTTCCATTATCCAACAGGGCAGTTTCTCATATAGAGTATTAGATACAGGCTACATAAGAAGCTTTCTGTATTACTTTTACATTTTTAAACATTCATATTTGAACTGCCCTAATCATCTAAATTTACAATTCATTAATTTTCATTTAATTTTTGTTCTTTCCCAATTTTTGTTGTTACTTGACTAACATATTCTTTTATGAGGGCCTGAATCCTTTCTGTATCTATTACAGTATTTCCAAATAGGAGAAAGCCATATTATAGCCATATTATAAAATTATACACACACACACATCAGGTTTTGAGTTTTGGTAACCTCATCTTCCAAACTCATACCAATGACAGCCTCTTCCTTGTTATCACAGGTAAATGAAATTCCAGTAACATGCCGAATTATGGATGTATTATGGATCCTGGTAGTGCAGTCGGCTTGAGGTTGTTCTCGACTCACAATCAAGAATTCTGGGTTCGAATCCTGGGAGGGACAAAAATGGTTGGGCACATTTCCCATCACCTAATGCACCTATTCATCTAGCAGCAAGTAGGTACCCAGGAATTTGTTAGCTAGCTTGTTGTTTGGTTACAACCTGCAGGGGTCTGTAAATCAACCTTGGGGGGGGGGGGAGGGCCTTGTCATAAGCCTAACATGTATAAACACACATTGGCTGCCTGTCCCCCGACACAATGAATTATTAAGTATTATTATACATGTCATAGATATACTGGGATGTTTCCTCACTTAGCTCTGATGCTTGGAATTGTTCATAAATTTTTTTTATTTTTGGTCCTCTGGTAGGTTAGGAGAGGGGACTTTAGTACGCCAGTTTCTTGACACGGAAACATTAGGAGGATGGGCTGGGGAAAGGCACCCAGAAAATAAGAAGGACAAAGTAAACCACTGCTGGCTTAAAATGAGACTGTAGCCTCTAGAACCTACAAAAGAACTTCTCAAACAATGTAAACAAACTATCAAAATCTCTTGAAACTAGTGCAATGCTCATTTGGTCCACTTATTTGTGGGGAGGAGGGAGACAAATTGAAAGAAGGCAGAAATGAAAGACCATCAGCCAGAACCCAAGAAGGCTGGAGGTGAAAAAAACATGAAATAGCTCACGAAACGGAGAAGTATCAACATTCAGGGTATCAACCCTGAATGCCAGCTGTAGCAGCACCGTCAACACTGAGAGAACTGGAACAAGGAACAAAGAATGCACCAATCCAGATACAAGAGGTTGAAGAAGAACCAAAAAGCCCAGGAAGGCCTGGTTTTTGACCGGGGAGAAAGCAGAGTCGACCACGCCAGATGATACCTAATCCGAGATGACCCGACGGAGGCGAGGAAAGGAGGCCCACCAGGAGCAATCTGAACCCTAAGAAGAGGAAGGGAGCAATGAACCGCACTGCAAGACATGGGAAATGAATAAAATAAAAAAAAAATGTGGGACCAGGAGGCAGCAAACTGGGTGAGCTGCCCATTTGATGCCCTGACATACGGGGAAAAGCGAAAAGGCCAGACACCTTGAACCTGAAAGGGCCAGACACCTTGCACCTGAAAGGGCCAGACACCTTGAACTTCCATTATTAGTGAGAAAAGACCCAAATGCAAAAGAAGCAAGAGTCCAAAAATGAGGCGGAAACTGAGTCATGGAGGTGAAACAGAAAAAGCACCACATGAGCCATTGGAACAGGAACCTGAGAGGCAGGAACCTCCAGAAGGATGATCTTAACAAGCCTAAAAGGATGAAGAATTGAACTACAGGAGGGCCCCACACACAAACCAAAAGCACACAAGGAAGGTGGTTATGAATACCCACACCCACTCCCTGCAATAAGGACTCTTGTCGAGTTGAACAGGACCCAGCCCACATCCAATACCCCCAATCCCCGGAAGCCACAGACAAGGGTGCCAGGATGGAGCCTGCGTCCGTGCCCACTGCCTGGTACAGAAAAGTGAAATCCAAGCAAAGTCTTCCAGAGGAGGGGTTGACTGAAAATAAAGCCTAGAAGCCCCGGTGGGACAAGCAGATTCAACTTCCTCCACACTCAAATTAAATGAGGCAACACCCTGAGCTGCCCGAGCCACATCCTGAGCTCAATCCAGTCCCCCTAACAGGAAACACTCAGATGCCCCCCCGAGACAGAAACAGGGGGGGGCAAAATACAAGAGGGGTGAACCCCCCATCTATGAGGGAAGAAGAAGAGGTACAGATGGAACCAACATAGAAGCTACCAAACACTCTGAAACCCAGGTTCCTAACCACCAATGAGGCAGCTCTGGGGGAACCAATAGGACACAACTCAGACTGCTATAACTTAGAAAACTCAAGACACAAGAGTGATCGCTGCCTAAGAAGCCCCAGCAGGTGGGCCACAAGGAAGAGTCATATTGGGAGAAGAAGTCCCAACAGGACTCAGGCCAAAGGTGCCACCGACCTAGCAGGCAGCACAGCAGAGGCAGATGGACTGAACACCGTAACATAGCATGGATGATAAGTAATCCTGAAGCTTGCACAAGGTGAGAGAAGGTTTGGTGGAAATATCTAAAGGACCATCTAACCTGCAGAGGATTTCCAGGGGCTCAAAGGAATTGATCAAGCAGGACACCCAAGCATGTGGGGATGTGATGCTGGGCCTACAATGAAAGGAGTTGTATGAAACTACATTGAATATGAAAATAGAAATGATAGTAAGCCAACAGTAGCTGCTCACATGGTTTCAAGGGCTTACCACAGCATTGCTATACTGTAGCATGTGAATACCCAGTGCACCCAATGTCACTCCCGACTCAAAAAAAAAAAAAAAAGTAGAAATATCCCAAGATACCTGACTCACCCTGGGCGAGTACCACCTCAAGCAAGGAGAACCTCTAAGGTAGTGACCCCTGAACACCTGACGGAAGTGCAAGGGGCAGTAGTAAGGAAAAACAAGTAAGATAATCCTGCACACATACAGCTCCAACTCCTCATGATGTCCAGACTCTTGCAACACTGAACAGTGTACAAAAATGCTCACAAAGGTATAAACCACCACTTAGCTGTACGAGCAAAACACTGGAGTCCAAGCAGAGAGGCAACCAGACGCACAATATGATGACAAAATTACACATCAGAAAATGAAGAAACAACGACGTTTTGGACCCTCCTGGACTATTATCAAGTCCTGTGATAGAAGGACAGGCAAATAAATAGGGTAAGTGTGAGATGAGAGGTGAGGAGCAGGTAAGATAAAAAGGTAAGAATAAGATGAAAAGTAAGAACAGGATGAAGATAAAAATAAAAGGAAGGTAAGAATAAGAGGAGAGGCAAGAATAAGAAAAAGATATGAGAATAAGATAAAGAGGCAAAGTTTTAGTCAGATCACATTTCTTAAGAAGGTTAGAGCACTAAAGTATGTACTACAAAAGGGAAGTCAACAACAACAACAGATACACACACACTACACACATCAGCATAGAACCGAGGGTGAAGGAGCTGGCTGATTAGGAGTTGCCTCCTTCCTACCTGCAATATGAGTGGGGGAAGGTGGGGGCAAATAAGCACTGCAGAAGTTTCAAAATACAGTATTTTAATCGATTGTTTACGTTGTTGGGAGGACTTTTTTCAATGGTTCTCGAGGCTGCAGTCTCACAAGACGCCAGCAGTAGTTTGTTTTATCTTGCTATCTTTCTGAGTGCCTTCCCCAGTGGTGGTATAAATAAATACTATACATATATGTCACCACTCCCTGCACATCTGAGGGGGATGGTGGGGGGGGGGGGGGTTCAGGTTCTGGTGCTGGTCCCTGGTAGGTCTATACAACTCTGTGGCTGATGTGATCTACTAGATGGTACTCTCATTATCAGTGATAGTAGCTTCAGGAAGCCACAAGGGGCTTTACCCCCCTGAAAAAGTTTTAAAATAAGGAAATATTGATGAATTTTTAACTTATCAATACTGTCAATACATAACATTTTTACAGCAGAAATTTTCTCCCAAATTAACACCTATGTAATATGATCATAAAGCTTGTAATGCAAGAAAACGTGTCTAATGTGTATCTTATTGCAAACATTATGACCATTAAAACATAATTATCCTTAAGGTGTATACTATACAATACATTACAGTACATGCCCCTATTTAATATGAAAACAATTTTCACCTTATATTTACAATATCTCAATTTACAATATCTCAATTTAAGTGATACAAATTTTGCTAGATATATTAACACCATATTTCCTATCCTAAGAAAGAACGTCATAAATATAAATCCCAAGCATTACATTAAAGATATTTTGACATGCACATTTGTAAGAAAAAAGTAACTTGATACTTTGAATCATGTGGTACCTATTTCACACTAATCAATACAAAATAGGTACATGCATATATGACCATTATATATATATATATATATATATATATATATATATATATATATATATATATATATATATATATATATATATATATATGTCGTACCTAGTAGCCAGAACGCACTTTTCAGCCTACTATGCAAGGCCCGATTTGCCTAATAAGCCAAGTTTTCATGAATTAATTGTTTTTCGACTACCTAACCTACCTAACCTAACCTAACCTAACTTTTTCGGCTACCTAACCTAACCTAACCTATAAAGATAGGTTAGGTTAGGTTAGGTAGGGTTGGTTAGGTTTGGTCATATATCTACGTTAATTTTAACTCCAATTAAAAAAACATGACCCCATACATAATGAAATGGGTAGCTTTATCATTTCATAAGAAAAAAAATAGAGAAAATATATTTATTCAGGAAAACTTGGCTTATAAGGCAAATCGGGCCTTGCTATGCAAGGCCCAATTTGCCTAATAAGCCAAGTTTTCATGAATTAATTGTTTTTCGACTAACTAACCTACCTAACCTAACCTAACCTAACTTTTTCGGCTACCTAACCTAACCTAACCTATGAAGATAGGATAGGTTAGGTTAGGTAGGGTTGGTTAGGTTCGGTCATATATCTACGTTAATTTTAACTCCAATAATAAAAAATTGACCTCATACACAATGAAATGGGTGGCTTTATCATTTCATAAGAAAAAAAATAGAGAAAATATATTAATTCAGGAAAACTTGGCTTATTAGGCAAATCGGGCCTTAAATAGTAGGCTGAGAAGTGCATTCTGGCTACTAGGTACGACATATATATATATATGTATACAGTATTATATATATATATATATATATATATGTATATTATATATATATATATGTCGTACCTAGTAGCCAGAACGCACTTCTCAGCCTACTATGCAAGGCCTGATTTGCCTAATAAGCCAAGTTTTCCTGAATTAATATATTTTCTCTAATTTTTTTCTTATGAAATGATAAAGCTACCCATTTCATTATGTATGAGGTAAATGTTTTTTTATTGGAGTTAAAATTAACGTAGTTATATGACCGAACCTAACCAACCCTACCTAACCTAACCTAACCTATCTTTATAGGTTAGGTTGGGTTAGGTAGCAGAAAAAGTTAGGTTAGGTTAGGTTAGGTAGGTTAGGTAGTCGAAAAACAATTAATTCACGAAAACTTGGCTTATTAGGCAAATCGGGCTTTGCATAGTAGGCTGAGAAGTGCGTTCTGGCTACTAGGTACGACATATATATATATATATATATATATATATATATATATATATATATATATATATATATATATATATATATATATATATATATATATATATATATATATATATATATATATATATATATATATATATATATACTGTATATATATATGTCGTATCTAGTAGCCAGAACGCACTTCTCAGCCTACTATGCAAGGCCCGATTTGCCTAATAAGCCAAGTTTTCATGAATTAATGATTTTTCGACCACCTAACCTACCTAACCTAACTTTTTCGGTTACCTAACCTAACCTATAAAGATAGGTTAGGTTAGGTTAGGTAGGGTTGGTTAGGTTTGGTCATATATCTACGTTAATTTTAACTCCAATAAAAAAAAATTGACCTCATACATAATGAAATGGGTAGCTTTATCATTTCATAAGAAAAAAATTTGAGAAAATATATTAATTCAGGAAAACTTGGCTTATTAGGCAAATCGGGCCTTGCATAGTAGGCTGAGAAGTGCGTTCTGGCTATTAGGTACGACATATATATATATATATATATATATATATATATATATATATATATATATATATATATATATATATATATATATATATATATATATATATATATATATGCGAACAAGCCTGAATGGTCCCCAGGACAATAGTTATATATATTTATATATATAAATAGTTAGTTAGTTATATATATATATATATATATATATATATATATATATATATATATATATATATATATATATATATATATATATATATATATATATATATATATTATTAAATATGACCGAAAAAGTAAGATTAATAATTCTAACACGAATTTTCTCAATCTTTCGTACATTACGCTTCACTGTTGGAGGCAAATCAAAAATCACTTCTCCAAAATTCATTTTTATTTCTAGTCTGACGCGACACGGGCGCGTTTCGTAAAACTTATTACATTTTCAAAGACTTCACAAATACACAACTGATTAGAACTTGCGTTTCCCTGATTTTATATCTACATTTGAGTGAGGTGGGAAGGGTGATGTGGCATTAACACAAGACAGAACACTAGGGGATATTAATAGGGTATTAAAAGTATCAACACAAGACAGAACAGAAACAATGGGTATTGAATAGAAGTGTTTGTAGAAAGCCTATTGGTCCATATTTCTTGATGCTTCTATATTGGAGCGGAGTCTTGAGGTGGGTAGAATATAGTTGTGCAATAATTGGCTGTTGATTGCTGGCAATCAACAGCCAATTATTGCACAACTATATTCTACCCACCTCAAGACTCCGCTCCAATATAGAAGCATCAAGAAATATGGACCAATAGGCTTTCTACAAACACTTCTATTCAATACCCATTGTTTCTGTTCTGTCTTGTGTTGATACTTTTAATACCCTATTAATATCCCCTAGTGTTCTGTCTTGTGTTAATGCCACATCACCCTTCCCACCTCACTCAAATGTAGATATAAAATCAGGGAAACGCAAGTTCTAATCAGTTGTGTATTTGTGAAGTTTTTGAAAATGTAATAAGTTTTACGAAACGCGCCCGTGTCGCGTCAGACTAGAAATAAAAATGAATTTTGGAGAAGTGATTTTTGATTTACCTCCAACAGTGAAGCGTAATGTACGAAAGATTGAGAAAATTCGTGTTAGAATTATTAATCTTACTTTTTCGGTCATATTTAATAATATATGTCTACAGGAAAGACTGCTACCAAAATATACTAATATATATATATATATATATATATACATATATACTGTATATATAAAACACACGGTATATTTTTTCTAAGAAAAACAAAGTTCTTTGGTTTGATTAAAATTGTAGACAAAACAAACTCCTATGAAAACACAGAATACAAATACTACAACACATACCAAATTGTAAATCAATTATTCCAGTGTAGGTAGAAAGAAGCTTAACAATAATTTAATTCAAATTAAAATGACTCGTGTACAAAGCTCTCCCAATGGATAAAGACATTTACATTATTGATTAAACTCTTATTAAATAAAAATACGTAGTGGAAGTATCACCTCTTACATTACTATGCACACTGAGCCTGACCAGTTAACATGCCATAAAACCTGGGCATCATTATCAAGTTTCAAACTGACTTCACATCAGTCATTTTCTTGTACAGTACTGTAATCCAAACTTAACTCACAAAGATGAGAGAAGACCCAACTTTATTCAGGTATGCGACATCAGGCAACAGCTACACCTAACATCAAACCTCAAATCACAAACTAGACAAGTTAATAACTTGCTTTGCACATGTATAAATATGATAACAATAACATTGCACACAAAATCTTCCACTAGATTGGTCAACATCAGCACCTCATTGGTTTCCTAGCTGTTGGACCACACTATACCACTATTGATTGATATTTTCTACTTCACTTTGCAAATAATTTTTGTCATCGCTTCAGCTTTACTACCATAACCTGACCATACAGGAAACTAATTAACAAAATACATTGCTAGAGTTGTTAGCAGTCAACAGTTCACTATCCCATCTCACAAAATGGTAGATTTATTTATTAACTTTAGTGCACCAAAGACACAATACGAGTCATCTGTGCTTATACTGTAAATGTCCCGGAAGATGCTGACACATGTCATCTGATTGCAAAAATTTGAGGCTTCACTTCCTTAGCCATTTTATTTGCATTTACATGGCACAAATCATTTGAAATATACCAGTAGAGTGCAAGTGGAGCTACAGTTACTATCTTGGGCATGAGGGGACCAACCACAGAACTTCCTGTTCACCCATGGGGCTACACCATGTGGGTGTAGCCCCATGGGTGAACACCACACACTACAGACTTCCAGATTTTGCTCTCGTGATTCCAAGTGTCTTTTTGCATCACTTGCAGTATATTTTGAACTGGACCTATTGTGATACTCTAAATAAAATAATAATAGTGGGCAAAGGTTAAAATGTATGGGAAGAATTATCAAGAAAGTGAAGGGTACGAGTCCTCGAAAATGCCTTTTGCCATGAAAACACATGCCTCCAAGAAAAGCTTGACTCCATATAAGATTTCTCTTACACTGTAAAAGAAAGTTCAAATTCAGAAACTCAAGAAAGCAAAGCTGACTTTTGTGACAGCAGTAATGATAAATCGCAAACCTCATCAGAAGAGGACGAAGCGTCCAAAATTTCACCGAGATTGAAATCGTCTTGTTGTATGGGTTCACATTCCTATCTGAATACATGTTTAAGACATGAACAAGTACAACTTATGAAGAGTATGTGCCTGTATTTATACCACAATAAGAAAAGAGCTGGTAGGATGATGAGTGATTCCTTCCCCAATCTCCTCCACCATATAACATCCAAGAGCACCAACAATATCTACAACTACTGTAATTGAAGATGGTGGAAGGACATGCTTAGATGCTTTGTAACATCTACAGGTAACAATAGCAAACAATTTGTTTTTATCATATTATGGCTTGTAGTATTTCTATGAACATATTTCTGTGAATAGTAAGCAGAAATGTGTGGCTGGAAAATGTAAGTTTTAAGTGCATGGAGTATATTTTAAATATTAGCCACACAAAACTGTCTTGAATAATTCTTAATTTTACAAGATGTAACCGATTGTGAACATTTATAAGACGGTAGACCTCTTCGGTGCAGGAATTATTATTTTTCATCTGTTATAAGAAATTTTAATGATTTCTCAAGATTTTTTCATAAGAAAGTATAATCATTTGTAGACGCACACATGTAAAACATCAGCATTGAATGTAATGAAATGCTTCATTCTGGAGGTGCCTCAGTGGCTCTATATTGTTAGCCACACTTTTGTTAGTTCAACA